GGTGTGCACCTGAATGACGACATCAGCTGGGGCAACAACATCACCAGCCTGATCAAGAAAGCTCATCAGAGACTCTACTTCCTCAGACGGCTGAGGTGAGTTGGTCTGGGAAGCTCAGTCCTCACCTCCTTCTACAGGTGTGCAGTGGAGAGCATCCTGTGCTCCCGCATCAACATGTGGCATGGAGGCTGCACAGCTGCAGAAAGAAAAGCTTTGCAGAGAGTGGTGAAGGCTGCACAGAAGTCTGTTGGAGTCAGTCTCCCCACCAACACAGACATCTACACCTCCAGATGCAGGAAGAGGACCACCTGCATCATGAAGGACCCCACTCACCCAGCATACACACTTTTTGCCCCACTCCCCTTAGGAAGGAGGCTAGCGTTCGATTAAAGCGGACTAAAGAGGGCTGGTGTGAATGCACCCTAAGACTACTGGAGGACAAACTGACCTAATTTCTTAAAATGAATTGTTACAAATTATTTGTTTTCATTTGATAATATTTCTATCTTAACGTGATTTTCGGACTGTCATTGTGTATCCGTTCCTCCTCCCTGTTCTTCTCAAACCCAGCTGGTAGAAGCAGATGGCCGCTTGTCCTGATCCTGGTTCTTCTAAAGGTTTCTTCCTCATGAGGGAGTTTTTCCTTTCCACTGTCGCCTTCATGCTTGCTCAAGATGAGAGTCTGTCTCAAAGCAGTCTGCTCCTCAGATAAACAATATTAACTTACTTTAATATATATGAATGTTTCTGTTCAGTGCCTTGAGATGGCTTCTGTTGTGACTTGGTGCTATATAAATAAACTGAATTGTATTGAATGTGATTGTGTGTTGTTCTGTTTGTGTGTTGTGTTGGGAGTGTGAAGTAAAACTGCAGCCACATGCCTGGTTTTACCCATCATCCATTGATTAGTTCAGATTAAACTGCACCAGCACAAATTTACTAAACAACCAGTTCAGAGTATCTCTATTTACTTTAAGGATAAAAAATATGACAATATACAGTATACGATTTTGGTTCAGTGAATATTTTATTATAAGTCAAAAATACAATATTTCAGCTTTTTGTAGGAATCATAAAACGTTCTCTTGGAGCGTATTTATTGTTTTCTTGATGTCACACACCAAAAATAATAATAATCTGCAGCTCTTACATGTAATCTAATTACTGTATATACAGACACAACTAAAGTCTGGCTACTTCTTTAAAAGAAAAGCAGATTCGTGATGACTTGTGTTTATCCGAAACAATTCCAGTTATTATTTTAGAAAAAAAAGATTGATTAGAAACAAACTTTCATGTTTAAAGCCAATATATCAGATATTCTCTAAGGCTTGGAGGTTTTTTACGTTTTAACTTTAGAGTTTTTTTTTTTTACTGTTTCAAAATATTAAAAGAGCCAACACAACCCAAATGTATGTTTAATGTCTAAAATATGTATATATCATATTTAATGTTAATTAACATTGGTTTAAACAATAAAACTCCTCTAAATTGTAATAGGGGAAATAATTTGTTGCTGGTCCTTTGGGCGTTAAAGAACATTCAATAGCATCCTCAAAATACTTAAAATAATATAGATGTTGTGGTAATAAATCAATCAATAAATGTTATTTTAATTTTCAATTCTAGCCAGGTCCTGTGATGGACATCTGACCTGCCCAGAGTGTCCCCCGTCTCTTGCACAGTGACTGCTGGAAATGGGCACCAGTGACCCCCGTGACCCAAAAAGGAAGATCCGGGACTGGATGGATAGTCTTTTTTTGGATCAAGATAGAAATCACTGATGTCTGACAAAAAATAGTAATTGAAGGTGAATGATGAATAGAATAAAGGTGATATTTCACTGACAAGCTCAGATTGTTGTTAAAAGTCTGGTAACAATGTGAAAACAGCCCCACTAAAGTCTTGATTTGCTGATGTAATAATTATAAATCTTCATGAGAGGTGAGAGAGTTAGAGAGCTGCAATAGTTGGACTCTTTAAAAACAAGGAGTTCGTGTTTGTGGTTTTCTAAATGGTCCAAAAATCTTTGAAAGTCACATTGCAAAGATTTCACAGATCACCTTTGAAAGCCTGTGTAAGCAGAGGCATGATGAGCATCAAAGTGACTTTTATTCCTGCAAACATCACATAACGTGCACCGCTGCACAAACAACAGGCACCAGGAGAGACGAGACAACTCAGATTGACAAAAGTGAATCTTAAACAAAACAACAACAAAAAAAAGTTGTTCACTCTGCATAATTGCTTTCTATATGCGGACAGATACTTTAGCCTTTTATGGCTTCATCTTTCTGTTGAAGTGACTGCCTTCTGTCATTTGGACAACCGTTAATGTCCTGATTCCATCATCCAGACATGCTCAGGGTAATAAAACAGAAAGCCATGGTATGTCTTCAGTTCTTGTCATTTGCACCAAAACTGACAGCTTATAAACTATAATTATAATGACAAAATAAATATTGTGGAGACAGATTTTTACATTATGTTCCTGTGACAACTACTGTATTTTTCAGACTACACTGAGCACAACTTAATTCTAGAAATGAAAACAAAAAAATGGAGTGGCGTCAAATTTGAGCGGTTTTAGGAATTTGGTTATGTCTGTGGCACATGTGCCAAACAAACATTTTTCAACAATGGACCATGGAGAATTTTGTTTTTCACACAAGGCGCATCAGAGTTTGATTGTGCATTCACAACTCCCCAAACAAACCAGACTTTCTAGGCAAACGGACTAGAGTTCGATTAAAGCGGACTGAACAGGGTTGGTGTGAATGCACCCTAAGGCGCAATGTTGATTTTTGAGAGAATTAAAGGATTTTAAGTGTGCCTTGTAGTCCGAAAAATAAGGTATGTCATTGTGCGTAAGCGGATTGAAGTAGCTACATTTATTACATTTTTAAAAGTAAAAAAAAAAAAAAAAAAAAAAAGAATAAAAAAAATTCCAACAGAGGAAGATTTTTTTTTTTAATTTTCTGGTTGGTACAGAAAATCTACCATGGTGCTCATGAAACACAACACTCTCTTGCTGGGGTAGCCACAGATGAATAAAACATCTGAAAAAGGCTTTATAATAACAATCAGAGCTTGTCGGATGAAATTATGACTCATATTTGTCTTTGTGTTGTTGCACTGCCAAAAGAGTGTCAAAACAATACCACCCAGTACCGGTCCAAAAACAGAAATGTGTGTCTGCCAATAAATTTCCCCTAAACAGACGGAAAAGTTGGGCCTAAGTTACAAAACTTCAGGATTCTTTTTTTTTTTGTTGCTTTTGAAACTAAAGCTCAGCTGGATTCCCATAAACAATTAAATAAAGGAAGTTTTACTTTACTTTTGGTCGACATGCCTTTTTTTCACAATCAAACCAACCAAATGTCTAATTGGCATAATAACAGTTTACTAATCTGTGTATTTAATAAGGCTCCCCTTATAAATGGCTAATAAATAGTTTATAGATGCATTAATAATTCCTCGTTAAACACAGCTCGATTTTTAACCAGTACATGCAAAAGAGAGCACATTACACCAGTTTTGGCCTCACAGCACTGGTTACCGGTTCACTTTCGAATCCAGTTCAAAATACTCACGTATGTCTACAAATCACTGAAATGCTAAAAAAAAAAAATAGGTTTACAAATGTTTAATGTGCTTACAAGGTAGTAACTAAGTCTGAAATGTTTAATTTAACAACTCTAGATGAAATATATAGGTGAACAGATTTGGCTCAATATTTGGCAAGACACTGGTCAATTTTGTCTGTCACCCTTAACTAATGCATAATAAGCAATTATCAATGATTTATAAAGTGTTTATAGGGGCATTAATAACATATCTATAAACTATGTATTAGCCATCTATAAGGGGAACCTTATTGTAAAGTGGTACCAATCTTTGAGTCAAAGCGCTCATTCAGCTGTCACCTGTGTCACTGTTAGCTCTATCAGTCAACCTACAGGTGAAGTTTCAACTCTGCCAAATACTGGATGTCTCCAGAGGCAGGAAATGGATCATAAAATGACTCATCGCAGCTTCTGTAGGAGAGTTTAACTTCTACAGCCAAATCGCTGCAAACATTATTATTTCAGCGCCTCTGAGGTGCTCTCATCAACAGAAGCGCTGACCTGGATTTTGCAGGAAAAAGAAGTTCTTGAGAACATTTCAGTTTTTGAACTGTGTTCTGTGGTAAAAGAGAAGCTATAGAGAAGAGTTTCATGGCTACTTTTTAAGTCGCTTTTTATATTTACTAAAATGCTCTGGACTTACTTACCCATACTTTCACCTAAGTGAATGAATGCTGATCTTGGATTTTCTGACTCCCATCACAGGTTGTGCACGAAGGGGTGGAACTGCATTAATTAGACAGCCTGATGTGTAAAGGTGCGTGTGCATTATCTTGACAGGCATCCCAGATTCTTTCTGGCTACGTGGAAACAGAAGCAAACCTCTCGCTCGTGAATAACGGTGGCACTTTCTGAGGTGCATCTTTCCAGCCGCTCTCCGCGTCTCTTCCTCTCGCTGGGTTTTCCTCCCTCCTCCGACTTGATGATACGCTGATATCTCGTGGCAGTGGATGCGGGGGCTCCTCATTGCTGTACTGCACCGCTCCCGTGCCCTGTGGTGCCTCTTCATATCTCCTCATCCTTCTCCTCCTCCTGCTTCGTCATCACTTTCCTGTTTCCCCTTTAATTAAAACTGAAGCGCCAACACAAAGTCGCTCCAGACGAGTTTACCTCACCTCTGACGGTTTAACCTCACGCTCGCTTGCAGTTTTCACTCTCCTCTCTAATTGGTCATTGCACAAACAAAGCACTTAGGGGTTTATTTTAGCAAAATCTACCTTTTAGGCTACTCTTCATTCACGTGTCCATTCTCATAAACATCCTGCATCAGCTTTATGTCTTCTCGTTTATTAAGGTTGTAAAAAAAAAAAAAAAAGAAAAGAAAACAGCCCCCCCCCCCCACACCGCCCCTCGCTCCCCCCATTGCAAGGCCTGTCAGTGCCTCATGGTGTTCTTGCCAAACTTGTCGCCGAGTTGCTGAATGAGCAGAGCCAGCTCCTCGGCGGCCTGGGACTTCTCCTCCAGGAGCTCATAGCGGAGGCTGGAAATGTCTTGCTTGATCTCCTTCAGCTCGCCTACAACGCAGGAGCAAACGGAGGAACAGAGTGAACGAGCAGCAATCAGGACGCATGAGCAGGAACACATCCAGACACGAACTCCATGAACTTCCACCATGGACAGTTAGAAAAGTACGTGACCCTTTAACCTTCTTTGTATTTCATATGTTTTAAAGTCTTTTTGATGTATAGTCTGTGTTTTTTTTTTTTTCTCCCCTTCTCATCAATTTACATATAATTATTTATGTGGACGGAGTTCAAATAACATTTGGAGTATTTGTTAAAGAGATAGTTCAGATGCTTTGACGTGGGGTTCTGTGAGCTGGTTATCAACAATAATATGTTACCTGTTGTAGATAGCTCTTTGAAGAACTTCAGTTTGAAAAAAAGTTTTAATTCTGACCTGACTGAGAAGCTAAGAGCTATGGTTGGCCCACTATGTGAGTGTGCTGCTTGTGGGACTGAGTTTGTTGTGGCTCTTTAGACTGATGAAGTCCTTTGGATGAAAGACGCAACGTTTCAACACAAAGACACCGTCCAGATGACCTGACTTAACTTTGTTGGAAGCTAACAGCTAGTTGGACTCTGGCTAAGACTACAGATGATGGATTTTAACTTTCATGTTTTATTTTTTTAATTTTTTTTATTTTTTCATAAAATTTATAGTATTTGTTCTTATTTTTAAATGTTGTGGCCTAATTCAGGTTTTTAGTTTTTATTAATAGTAGTATTTTTTTATTATTACTTTTTCTTATTAATGTACAGCAATTTGGCTAATGGTGTTATTATTACTTTGTTTTATTTGGTATTGCATTGTTATTGACTTAATACAACTCCATTATCCAAAATTTCTAAGTGCTTCATTCAGAGAGCTATCTACAACAGGTAAGATATTAATTATTTATACCTTTTCCACAGACCTCCATTTCTGAACGTTCTCCTTAAACACACTCAATTATTATAATTATTATTATTATTCATACTTTGCGTCTTTGGCATCCGTCACAGCACACTGATCCTTTGCAAGTCTTTTCCATCCTTACTGACAAAAACACTTGACCTCAGCCAGGTTGGATGAGGATCATACGCACAAACATTTCTCAAGTCTCACCAGAGACAGAGATAGTTCTGGACTCGGGAGCAGACTCCGACTGGGCTGGCAAAAATAACTTTCATAAATAATTCCAAAGCCTCTCCTGTGTTTTCTTGAAGAAATGCCTCAGGTTGTTGTTTTGGTGAAGTGACACTCTCTGCCTCAGTATTGGTTGGAACACCTCTTCAATAGATAGATATCCTTTTTAATGTTTGTTATAGAAAAATAAAAGGATTTACAGAATGTCTCAGGCATTACAAGGTTTGACTGTAGGAATGACTCTAAAAAGTTTTAAGTTTGCTCCAGACAATGTGAACTTCTAAGCATTGGGCTGCCTGTTGGTAAAAAAAAAAAAAACTGTGCAGAAATAAAGGCATGAACCTTGAATCGTTCTGTAGGAAGGTGAATGTCTGATTGATGATAAGATTCTTCCTTTTTACTTTGTAGTTTGCTGAATTTTATTCATCAATCGGTCACCTCTCAAAGCTGACACTTCTCTGCACCGCTTTCTGTAAACTGCTGCAGACATTCAGTCTTTACGCTTCAATAAAATGTCTTGAAACAATCCTGCCAAGAAGGAAAATCTCCCAAACCTGCAGCTTGGTTTTCACTCTGACAAAAACCCATCTGCTGCAAAACCTTATTTAATCTGGCGTGTGTCTTTTATAATTGTGACTAATTAGATCAGTTGATGTACGCTGCAGAAAAACCTCAACTGGATGCTTCAGACCTCAGCTGTAGAATTTAGAAGCAAATACTGGGATACAAATTGTGAAGCAGTCACACATTTGAGATCTATCTTTGTTTTCCATACGTTTTTTTTTTTTTTTTTGGCACATAACATGTTCTGCAATATCTAAAACTGATTAATTCAAAAATGAATGAAAAGAATCAGGACATTCCTGCTGTGACTTTTGGTATTTGTGAAGTTTTAACTTTTTCAGCCATGTTTTTTTCTCATTGAAAATAAATGGAGCTCTCCACATCCTTCAAACCCTCGGTGCAGTTTAAAAACTTTTCTGCTCATTTCAGCTTTTGGTTCAACATTTATCAGCTTATTTGTGATAATTTTAGCTTCCTCCAGCTCCTTTCTGCTTCTTTCTACTTTTTTTTAGCTACTTCTAAGGTATTTTTCTGCTAATTTTAATCTAATGCAATTTTTTGTGCTCATTTCAGTTTGTTTTTTTTGCAAATTTCAGACTATGCAGTCTATTCAGCCTTTCTCTGCCTATTTCAGCGTATTCTGCTAATTTCTGCTACATTTCTGTTCTATTCTGCTTTAATTCTACACATTTCTGCAGTTCTATTATTATCTTTTTTTTTTTTACTGGTTTCACCTTTTCCTGCATTCAGCAAATGTCAGCTGTTTCAATTCAACTTGCGGTGACAGTTAAGCAATGAAAACATTTCAGCCAGGTTTCAACATGTTCAGCAGCTTTCAGCAGAAATCATTCAGCATTCACGTTGCATTTTCACAGGAAATGCAACTTCTCTAGTGGAAATTTATTCATGCAGTATATGGAGTTGAACAAATTAATTAAAAGTGTTCAACCTCTATTTTTCATTAATCGCGTGGAAGAAACTGAAAACATTAAACAATGTGTTTTCATTTAATGCCGGATTTTGCTCATAAAAGCATATAATCTCCTTTTTTATATATTCAGATATGTAATGGCACATTAAAAGTGTGCTTTATGCAACAACAACAACAACAAAAAGACTGTTCTTACCCTCATTGACTTCATCACTCTCCTTGTCCACTTGAGCTTTCAGCACATAACGTTTAATCAGCCGTTTCATGATCTTCTACAAGGAGAAAAAGAAAGGACAACGATGAAGTAGAGAGAGCACAGCAAGGTGATAAGACAGTTCATTATGATTTTTTTTCCTCAGAAAGCAAACTGTCTCATCACATTATATCAATAAACACAAAATAATTCTGGTAGAGAACGACGCTCTGTCTCTGAGAGGGAGTGAAAAACATTGACTATTGATTTGCAGCCAGTATTGCTGCAACTGCTGCCGAGGCCCGAGCAGTCAGCCTCTGGATGTGGGTCGATATCTGTCACCACACACACTGCATCCTTACATAGGTCTAATCAAGTGGCATCTCACAGCTGCGGCACTAAGCTTTTCATGTATGTCTTTAAAAATTCAGAAAGTTGGGAAGTTTTATGACAAAATAGAGGAAAGGTGGATTTCACTTAGGGAGAAGATTAAAAGCAAAGGTTGACAGTGTCTCATCATTATTGGAGAAAGAATGTAGTTTGAGATCATGCACAGAACGTGCTGCCCTTAATCTCCCTCAATTATCTCATTAGAAGACGTTTCAGCCTTCGTCTTTTGTTCTCATTCTTTTTTCGCCACTTCCTTTTAGTCGATGCCCTTCGATTCAAGCTAGTTAAATTCCTTCACCCTTGTCATTTCTTGTCCTGTCCCACGCGCCTTCCTCACCTCTGCCCTCCGCCCTTCCCTTCCTCCCATCACCGTGCAGCCAGCTTCATCTCTACCTTGGAGCCTCTCTACTTTTTGTTCCCTTTCATATTCCTTCTTTGTCTTGCATTTTATTCTACATCAAGACTCCATCCCGTTTCCAATTCTCCTCTGATCCATCAGTCAAAAAGAAAAACGTCAGCTTTTGATTCTGTCACAGTCTTACCTGATATCTGGTCGGGTGTAGTCTTGCTTTCCTGTGGACGAACTCTTCCCCTGATCGGGCGTAAGTTCTGAAGTGTTCATCCTGCAACAGCGACAACAGACAGTTGAGTGAAACGGAAACATTTCTAAAGGAGTAGAACGAGGCAGGAAAAACAAAACGCACGACAGCGACTTGGTGTTTGTAACTCATGTTGATAAGTCCTCAAACTGCGTCAGCAGCCTCGCTTCACTCAAGTTAATATTAAAGGCATCTTCAACTACATGCACACAATGGCCTAAACATGTTGTTATTTATCTATTCTAAGTTGTTTGTGACACATAAGTTTGTTATTTTTGGGTGTAACTGGGCCCATGCACAATTTTGTTCCACCTCATGTACTAAATGTGATGTGAATGACAATAAAGGACCTTGAATGAAAACTCCTAATTATTTTAAATGTTATACATCTTTATTAAATTTTTTATTTAAGGACATCGCCATTATTTTACAATTAGTTAACCACAAATCGAGCAACAATGTACATCCCCGGTGGAATGTCTTTGACACTATGTGCCTATGTGCAGGGTGTTTTATTTAATTTCAGGCTCTCTCTTCTCAGCCAAGGAGTAAGAGTTTGATACGATTTTATTTTTTTGCCTCCAAATTCTATACATGCGTCACTTTCATTACTTTTTGTCTGTCTAAACTTGTCTCACTTGTAAATGAGTCTTCAAGACTTATTGTGATTTATCTGTGTAAATAAAGATTGAATGAAAAAAAATCGGTTGTAGTGGAGACAAAATATAAGGAGTCAAGGCTGAAAAGTTAAAACATGTGGCAATAAAGTTATATTTTGTATTAGCCCTTATGCACAATATATGGGTCAAAACAGTCAAACGTGACGTGAAAGCCAAGTCATTTCTCCAATCTCCTCTCTGTCAGTGTGTACTGGTTTAAATTAAAGGACTGAACGTCAGATGTCCAAAATTAACATACAAGCTGAATGGAGTTTACACCAGAGCAATCACTACATCATTTACACAGAATACATAGTAATTTAAATAAAATGGCAACATCCATTTGTCAGTGTATATATATATATATATATATATATATATATATATATATATATATATAAAACTATAAAAACTAAATGGCCTACAACAGGGCTACTAAACTGATCTGAGGACAACAGTTACTGAAAACCAGCAGATCAGAGGCTGGACAACAATTAAAGCCATTCTCTAAATAAACCAAGTATTACAATCATCTGTTACATTTTAAATGTGTTTATTTTGCTGAATTAAATCATAAATGCAATAAACAGAAGCAAAAAGTGTCATTCAAAGAAATTACATTTCAAGATGTATTTTCTTGCAATAAAAGCAGTGATATTCGAATGTGAAACAATATTAAAAACAAAAATGACACACTGTGCCTCCTGTTTAACACAACTATTATCCTGCCATCTCTGACTTGCCAAATCTTTATGAGTTTCAAAAAAAAAAAAAAAAGAAAACAGTTGACTGTTTTTTATGTTCCCAGAATGACTGACATGTTGCTGTTCCAGATGTGTCTTTTAAGAACCAGTTCTCATTTACAATGAAATGGCTACACAGACCAGTTCTTCCTGCAATGGTTCATGAATCACAAGTGAAGTGTGCACGTCTCGCTCAGATGTGAGCTTTGAACGGAACCCGCAATGAGTGTGCGTGTCGAATATCTCCTTCATATCATTAATGAATTAACTCACTTAACTGATCTTATTTGTGATTAACTATTTATGTAAACTAACTACAAAGCTGCTGTGCATCATCATCAATATTCCCACAGTAATAAATCTGCTGTTGTTTAATCTGGCTAGCAGGCGATCGCACACCGATATGATCAGTTTATCAGGGCTCCCCGCAGAGCAGGAGGGGGAGATAGAGCATCAACGCAAGAGCGCACATCCTGTCACTCGTGTTTCTGCTAATTTAATTCTTATAATTAAACATTATTAACATCAAAACACTAATATTTGTAGGCGCCAGATTAACACAAAATTGTACGTCTCTGTTTAACTTTATTTTATTTTCCCCAAAACTCACAAAGTTCTCTCTGTGAGAGAGTCCGAGACTGTGCGAGCTGCAAAGCATGCTGGGTAGCCTTGTGGAAATTATATGTGCAATATTTCTGACTGTTTATGACGATTCCGAGTGTGGAAGTGAGTTGTTCTTGTTAATGTCTTGTTCAGGTTTGCGTTTATGTTGAAATCTCTGTTATTGGATGTAAACTGACACCATGAGGTTGTTCCTGATATGTATAAGGGGGAAAGCTATGATATGTTTAGAGTGTTTTCTCTGAAAAACGAAGTCACAGGGTGATTTCTGGCCTGGAATTGTGCTGTGTTTAGTTAGTAAATGCTTTTAGTGGGAAGGGGCTCACTTTTAAAGATACTTCTGTGTGCACATGGAAATGTTGAAAGTCAAGATGGGTACAGGATTTCCTCTCTGACAGAAATATTCACCATTTAATTTTTTTTTAAGTCGTTCTCACAGATTTGTTCTGATTGTTATTATTATTATATTTTATTATTAGGTACTGGTAATGAACTTATCAGAGCCCAGACTCAAGTCACTCGTGGTCTGGTAAAGGTCCATGGACCACAAGTTGAATATGCGTGACCTATAGTATTTTCACGGTCTTGTTTTCAAAGCTGAAGTAACTATCAAATTAGGTTTGCTGATTAAACTAGTTGGAGATCCTTTAAACTGGATGTGTCTTTCCTTTGCGTTGTGTGTGTCATTTCAACACTGCGGTGTTCAGAAAAGACTTCCGGCTCACGCGTGAACACATGAAAGTAGCTGCTTATTACGAATTTAGCACAAAAGCTGCAAAGTTTTGGAAGATAATTATTATAACTGTTGATGAATATCAACGTTTAAACCATATGGAATTAAAAAAAAACTATTTTCCATCCTGCACAAAATTCATAATATCATCATAAAAATATATGAGCAGAAACTTTACTAGCTTGTGTTAAATATCACGTTAAAGCCATTAAAACCAATTGTTTTATTTTGATGAGCACACGCTGCTTTAAAACTAACATAATTATCTTCACGTTTCTTAAATGAGCAGAATAACACGGACTAAAAGACAAAAAACGAATCACAGGCTCAGAATGAGCCAACCGTTACTCCTAAATTTCACTTGACATTTTTAGTGCTTTACCGTGGTCTAATGCGGCTTTATGCATTGATCGCTTACCACAGTTGCTTGCCTCGGCCTCAGTTAAACTGTCAGAGCTGCAGAAGATTTTAGGCACTCACAGAAGCAGCAGAGTGTAACCCATCTTGTCCTTATCCGAAACCTGCCTGGGCATTTCAGCAGATGCAGGCAGAAGCAATGACCTGACTAATAGCTGAGCTGAGGTGAGCCATTCCATCTGAGGACTCCGGCAGAGGAAACGCCTTGTGGACAAGGCCAACGCTAGGATTGATTCTGGATTAAATGTTCTCTGCTGTTTGCACAAGACTTTTGAATTTATTAAAAAAAGACTTCATTTATAGGGGAAGGAGGATCCTGTGAAAGTGAACAAAGCTTACGCTGCAACCCTGTGTTTAGACTAATCAGTTTATTTACTTAATTTGAACCATAAGCCTATCCATATTAATTTTTTTTCTTTCAGCTTCTCCCTTCTTCAGGGGTCGCCACAGCAAAGTGTCGCACGAAGACTTGGCGATTATTTTTACGCCGGATGCCCTTCCTGAGGCAACCACAGACCACCGAGCTACCACAGCCCTCTGTGTGGAGCAGAGAGCTGCTCTCTAGGGCGCCCGGGGGAGCAGATGATAGAGGTTAAGGGCCTTGCTCAAGGACAGGGTAGGCAAGTATAAGCCTCGGCTTCAGCCTATTCCTTTTTTGGTAAATTATTGATTTGTCAAAAGTAGTCTATATTGTTTTCCTTTTTCTGTAATGCTAATTTACCAAAATAAAGTTGAGTTGAGTTGAGTTGAGTTGGACCAAGAGTAGGGCAAATGAGAGTGGAGGCAGGAGTGGGTGCTTCACCTATCCAACCCACATTTTGATGCTGTCGGTACCGAGAGTTGAACTGGCGATCTTCTGATCTCTAACCTCCGCACCACAACTCCCAATAAGCCTATCCATATTAATATGATTTAGTATTCAGAACAGTGTCCACACAAACATTTAAATCTGAGCATAATGGCAACTTAAAAATGTCAATGTATTTATCCCTTTACATTTTATATCAGTTACTACGGCAACACAAGTCTGTCCACACAGGAAGTGCTTAATAGATTACTACATTATGTCAGTCATGGCAGCAAAGATACAATAATGAATTACATAAAATAAATTGAAAATATAAAGAAGTATTTAGCCTCATAATCAACCTAAATGAGAAAACAGAAAACAAGCTTTAAATTATTTTACTGCTCAGCAAAACGTCATTTCAGATGTAAGAAGAGCTATATTTGGTTCTTCTGGATCAAACCTGATGCTACAGGGGTTATGTGAGTGTGATTGTCCATTCCTCATGTGTTTTGTGGACCTGAAAAAGGCACATTATTATTAAAGATTTTTTTTTTTACGAGTATGAGGTACCAGCATCGTTTTTCCAGACTTTCCTATAGCAGGAAGAAGAAATCATCTGAGATTAAAATCACCTTCTCTAAATTAGGAACCCAGTTCGGTGGAAGCCAATGAATAAACGGAGGATGGATGACTGACCTTGGCCTGTGAGTTGAGCATGCCCATCTCCACCTCGTTGCGGTGATGGCCATTGACTTTGCAGAGGCAGATCAGACAGGACTTGATGCGGAGCACCAGGTAATAGAAGGACTTGGGGCTGGGAACCAGGTTAAATGGGGCAGGTAGAGTCCGACCCTCATCAAAGTAGGAGAGCCACAACTTGGCACGGGCAAACTTCCACTCAACGTCAGCATCCTCCTGCAGAAGCACATAAATAGAAGCAAATGACGAGTCAGAAGACAAGAAAAACAAGACTAAAATGAGACTCCTAAGGAACAAAATGATTATTTTAGTGGGCTGAGACTGCCAAGGACATTAAAATAGACAAGTGAAGATTATTCTGTCAGAATCTCAGCAGAAAAAAAGCAAAAAAAACTGAATATTGACAAGAAAACTTTCTATTTTGTGAGCAATTTTCCTCGCATCTTCTTTTGTAATTTCTGTTTTTCTTTTTGCCTGTTGCCACTTCATTGATCTTCAACAGCTTATGGCATTTTTTGTTCCAAGTCCCGCTCTAATTCTCCTGCAGACACATGATGATTCCTGATGATCCTTATTGACTTGTTGACACCACCATGCCCTTTCTCTGTTGACTCAGAACGTACCTCTATCTCCTGGTACGAGCTGTTGATCATAGCAATGAGCATGTTGAGAAGAACAACCACCATGGTGACGTTATAAACTCCATACAGCACGTATCCAATGTTCTCGATGAACTTATGGTCGTATTTTAGCACCACTGAGATCACTTCAGACAGCCCAAAGATAGACCAGAAAAGAGTCTTGAAACTTTCCTCCACACTGTGAAAAAAAAAAAGAGAACAGGACAGACATAAATCAGTACAATATATTAAATATGCATGTAAAAAATACTGTAAGGTGTTAACCAAATTAGTCAAAACATGCAATATAAAATGTGAGATTCATGATAAAATATCTGCTGAGTCATGTCCAGTTTTAACACTCATGTCTATTTCTGTCAATTTCTCACACAAAATAAATCCCCATCCTGTCGCACAAAATGCATCACATACTCCAACACAGTCACTAAACCTAAGCTCATAGGATATAAATTGGTTTGTTGAATTCAGTTAAATAAAGCAACATATTAAATCTGTCGGGATCTGTATTCTTTAGTCTTTTTTGTTAGGTTTATTTACTTTTTGCTTACATTTACTTTCTGAGTTCTGCTCAGTGTTTTCAAGTGCCATCAGGTCATTCCTCTCAGGACTTTCCTTCAGTCAGTTTCTGCTCTTACCCCGCCTTCTTACGTTTCCCTATTCAATTAAGCTCAGCTGTCAATCATCTCCTCGTTTGCACCAGTCCATTTGTGCCCTCTGTCCCATTCTCAGCAGTGGATCATTGTGCATTTTTTAATGCAATCTCTGGTTGTCCTCCATGTCCTTCTTGAGCTATTTTGCTGCCATGTGAGCCTTTTTGTCTTGTAAAACTATTTTTTTTTTCCCGTCCAAGCTCCTTGCCTCTGCATTTCTGGGTCCGTATCTTCCACAAACTAATGTCAAAATCTATGTGAAGTGAGATTTGGTGCAAAATTTAAAAAACAATTAATTTGACTGGTTGTAAATAACAATTTTAACTATTTTATTTAGGCAAAATTGACAAGTCTTGACGGTTATGTAGAATTCAATTCAATTCAATTCAAAAATACTACATTAATCCCAAAGGGAAATTATTTGTTGTTGTAACTCGTTATCTTCATTTCATTTCATTTCATTAAGAGATGTTACAGATACTGATGGCTGTAGGCAGGAAGGATCTCTTGTAAAGGTCAATCCCACAGTGGATCCTAAGAAACTGGCTGCAGATGCTGTTCGATCCGTCCACCCAGACTCAGCTGACCTCGGTTCCTCCGGGCTGTAGGACCGCCTGAGTGCCGGGCAGAACTCCTCCCAGAGCGATGGCCACTCCTCCCAGCAGTCTGCCGAGCTCCTCGTCACTGCAGACAGCCAACTGTAGGTGCCGAGGGACGATCCTGTCCTTCCACTGTCATGAGCCGTGTTTCCTGCTAGTTCCAGGATCTCTGTGGTCAGGCACTCGAGCACAGCTGGCAGGTAGATGAGAATGCATCCACAGAACATCCTTTTCAACTCATTTGAGATTTGTGGCTGTAGTTGAGATATTATTTGAGCTTTTGAGATGTTAATCAGCTGCTGTTGGTTGTAGAAAACTGCCTTGTTGCCATGGTTACGCATCATAAACTTAAAACCTAAAAAAGTTTCAGAAAAAATCCTTCCAGCTGCACAGCATCTGATACAAGAGGAAACAGTCATCCAAAAAATGTCATTTACATCCAGAAAAAGAGGAATTAAAGTTTCCAAAAGTAAAATCTCAGAATGAAATTAACAGAGCTGCTCCAACATGCAGCCACCTTAAGAGGCGCAATTCTAGAATGGTTATTTGCAAGCAACAGTAGCAGGCTGAGGCACTTCCTGCAGGAATATCATATTTCAACTTGAATAACTAACTTGTCAACTCAGTAAAAAGTAAACTATTTCTCTAAACTGAGGTTCAAAGAGCTATATACAACAGGTAAGATATTGATTGTTCCTAACCTTCCCACAGAACCCCTCTTTTAATGGCCTGAACTATCACTTGAAGTATTTGTTTTGTGTTGGCTTTTATGCAAAACAGACAAGGCAGTAAATGAAAAAACAAATGGTTTTAAATTCATGTACATGTGATTATCCCGGACCGTGTCTCCAAAGACGTAACACTTTATAATCCAAGGTTAATTACCTTCAAAGCAGTGCACATTTAAAAAAAATCATGCTTTAAAATCATTATTTATTTATTTATAATGAAATAACCCTTTAAATTAAATTATTGACCCAGGATAAAATACAAGCACTGCTTCCTCTGACATTTACAAAAAGAAAAAGTGCCGCTAAAGATTTCTTAAAAAAAAAAAAAAAAAAAGTGACAAACTCTTGTTCGAAGGGTTTTGTTTCTGTGCCAGAGGGTTCAGAAAGAAGAACCCGAGCCAAGGTGAAACAGCAAAAGGCTGCATGACCTGCTAACACTGATATAAAGACACATCTATATAGTGAAACAGCTCATGAGTGGCAAGCGTGGGGCTGGAGATGACAAGGGGGGGGGGGGGGGGGTCACAGTGGGAGGAATGAGCGAGCTGGTTGGACTGCTATGGGGCCTGGAGGTATGAGAGAACTGCAGGGAGAGAAAATGTGTAGGAAGTGTGAGTGTCTTCCAAATAAACTTCATCCACTGGCACACAAGAAGCTTGGTGATGGCAGCGAGAGGGAAAAACACCCTCTCAAATGCATAAAAACTGAAAAATAAATATACACTCCTTTCTTCTTTATCTCACACACACGAAAACAGCAACTCCTTTGGGTGCTTCGGCTTTTTTACCTTGCAAGAAGAAAGGAGAAAAAAAAAGTTCTTTATTCTATTAGATTTGCAAGATTTTCCGAGTTTCTGAAACATGTTGTCACTGCTGTAAAAAAACAACAACAAAAAAAAGTAAAAAATACACTCTTTCTAGGAAAGAAAGGATTTTAGGATGTTTTGCATTAACGGACCTGTTTACTGGCCAGATTAGTGTTGTACAATTTTTGATAGATTTATTTTTCTGGTTATTTCTGCATAATATATAAAAAAACTCCATAACTTTCTATCTTAAAATAAGATGTAAAAAAAGTTCAAAGATGGATATCTGCTTTTTACCATTTTGTTTGCTTCAAAAATCCAATTTTTCACAGACTGCTGCCCTTGCTACAGGAGATGGACTGTAACTGTGATTATAGCTATTTCCAAGAGATCCCAATAGCTGTAATTGAGGCCATGGCTGAGCTTTGGTTGTAATGACTGTTGTGTCGTGTCACTGACACATTAGTTGTAATGGCTGTAACACCAATTACACACAGGTGTTGTTTACGTACTGTGAGGCGTCATCATGGGAGCACTAGCAGGAAGGTCACAAATATAAACCCAAAGTCAAACATTCAAGTGAACATTATCTATCGCCTCTTTTTTACTGTGACATGACTCAAACTGCTTCATTTTAAGGGATTGGGGTACATTTTTATATACAGTCTGTTCATTTCAAGTTTCAAGGTGCTTTATTGTCATTCGCATCACTTGTGGTACATGAGGTGGAATGAAACTGTGTACTCAAGGCCCCAGTTACACCCAAAAATAGCAAAAATATAAAGTATAAAAAAGAAACGGTATACAAAAATCTAAAATATATGCTAAACAATAATAATGTAATATAATACAGTTTATGTCTAATAATATAATTGTATTGACTGTATAATACAGTCTGTTGTGAGCAGATGAATGTTGCAGCTTAAAGGCAAGAAATCAGCAGCATTTTCCTCTAGCATCTGAGTTGTAGCTTTCAAGTAAGACAAGCTAAAGCTAAAACATTAATCCACGGTAGCCCATCAAAAGAAAAAACAAACACTGAAAAATACGCCCTTTGTGGCAACAAAAATTATGTAACACAAAAATCTAGGTATGTTCCTTCCAATTTTAAAATACTGCAATCTGAACTTCCTGTCACTTGTATTTGTGAGACACAACACAAATGCAATGAGCAAAACTTGACCTTAAACAAAAAACAGATAAATATCAAATATTACAGATATTGAAATCTGTTTTGTGTGGTTATAGCTGAGAGTCAGTTGCAGAGAGCTGGTGTTTAGCAAACTTGGGGAAACAACTTTGATTAGAAATGATCTTTTGGATCAATACATTCTTGGATGAGGTCAGAGAACAGTTGTAACATTGTTGAATTTTTATCTCCATCTTTTCTATTGGGTTGCAGAGGCACCAGATCCAGGAGAGAAACCCTGACAGCCCCTTGCCCCAGTGACCCTCCAGCTTCTCCCAGGGAACCCAAGATGTTGCCAGGCCAGAGAAGATACACAATCCCTCCAGCATGTTCTGGGTCCACCCCAGAGCCTCTTTCCAGTGGGATGTGCTCGAAAAACCTCCAACGGTAAATGATAAATGGACTGTACTTATATAACGCTTTTCTATCTTATCAAGATACTCAAAGCTCTTTACACTACAAACTGTGCCCTCATTTGCCCATTCATACAGCACTCTACTAGATCTCTACAATTAATCAGTGCTTTTATCACATTCATACACCAATGGGACACACATCGGAGGCGATGAGGGGTTCAGTGTCTTGTCCAGGGACACTTTAGCATGCGACTGCTGATGGAATTGAACCCCCAACTCTCGCATTGGAGGACAACTGCTCTAACCATTCAGCCACAGCTGCCCTCGCAAATGGGAAATGTCCAGAAGGAATACTATTTAGATACAAGAGCCACATCAGCTGACTACTTTTGATGCAAAGGAGCAGCTCAAAGCTACAAGAGAAGCTCATTTTGGCCGACTGTATCCTGGATCTCTGGGTTTTTGTTTGTTTGTCATGATCAATATCACATAGGGGAGGGTTGGACTGTAGACAGAGCAGTAAATTGAGAGCTTTGCCTTTCTGCCCATCTCTATCTTCACCACGACCACCCTCATTACAGAAGATGAGGCCCTGAGCCATCTCCCACTCCATCCTACCTTCACTCAAATATCGTCATCAAATTTTATGTACAGTTCAAATTTCAACATTGTTTGATTGTTGACCGTTTATTATCACAAAACCACATTTCATTATATTTTAAAAGCGAACTGTTAACTCCAATACAAGATGGATATAAAAGCCATGTGCATTGATCATAAAACTTTAATACTTACATTTATCAGGCATGCACAAACAACATATATGAAACATAAAAAGTATACTTGTA